ATAACTTGCATCCCAATTTGTAATACAGAAAGTGATATAACATGGATTGTCACTTCTATGGTATGCCAATAACAACATCTGAATAAACTTTAAAGTACAGCTTAAGGGATATAACTAAGAAAAAGTAGAAATGTAAAACACTGACACAGGAAATCACTACAAAAAATGATAATGTGTTATAAATATAGCATTTCAAAATTTCTCCACTTGCCTTAATTACAAATAAAGTCAATTGCTATTTCAGTTTTGATTGATATTTTGTTGCAACACAAATTATATCTTTGCCTGTTTGGCAAAGCCCTCTGATTTATTTCTGTAAATTTAATATGAAACGCTCAGTTCTGTCAAATCTGTGTTCAGCCCTGTGTGTTTTGGTTGCCTACTTTCTTTCAATTCCTCTCATTTTTGGACACACCTCATTTGCAGTTTGGCCATCACCACACTGATCCAATGGAAATCCCATCATTGCTGTCCAAGCAAATCCATCTCTGATCTCAGTTCTTTGAAATTCATTGCTTTTGTATTTTTTTTTTTTTTTATATATTTTGAATTATTCCATCTCAAGCATCCTCAAACACATCACCACTCTTGGCTTGTTCTGTCTGTAAAGGGGCACTGAAATCATATTCTACATCAATCATCTGCAAAGGTAACTCCACCACTGCTCATATTTAAGCATAATATCATGGCTGCTAAAAATCCTGTTTTTCTAAGCACTTATTGATGAAAATAATTGTCTACCAAAAAATTGGTCTCGGTCACTCAAACAATAAACTCACAAGCCATTTGCTTTGAAACCAGTAGGTATATCTCAAATTGTCAGCAGTGGTCATGTGAGGTGAAATTGTGGGAAATACTTTATTTGACGGGTTGTGAATAAGACTGTCATGACATCATCATAAACATTTACATTATTCAAAATGCCTTTGTTATGACAACTTGTCATTAACCAAGAAATCATGATCTGACATAAATTTGTTATATAAGTATTACTGATTAAACTTTAGCTTTAATAAAATAAAGCTACATAATTTTAAAAGTTTAATCAGTAATACCGAATGACTTTATGACAACAGTCATAAATATTCATGAAGACTTACTCATGTTCATGACATATCATGTCATATTTATGACAGTGTCATGACAGTCTTATTCACAACCCGTCAAATAAATAGCAGAGGTTGCATTGTGGATTTTCTTGAGAACAGGTGAAAGTATTGTTTTCCAAGCAAACCAGTTCCAATCCGATGCTTATTGCTGCAGGCTCTGACTCTATAATCAATAACCCGGTGCAATCCTGGCTCCAACTGTGAGTTGGACATAAGGAAAAAAAAGACTTTTGTCCCCAGCTGGAGAGAGAATCACCAACAATCACTCAAAAGGTTAAGAGTGCCTTTTTTAAAACTCTGGAGTTAATTTCATTTTTGGTCCCCTTAAGTTGAGACAAATATGGAAAAGCATAGCAACTTAATACTTTGAAAGAGTCTGATTATCTGGTGAAATTCCACACGCTGACCACATCATGCATCACAGAGTTTGGAAAAGTTAATTTACTGTTATTTACAGCCATCCTGCTGTAAATAATATGTTTGTGGTGACCTGTGATCTTGTTGCCATTGTGAAAAATTGAAAGACCTATTATTTTTAAAACTGTCTATACCTGGTGTCTATCTCTAGCTATCACTGGGAGAAGGATAGTGTGCACCCTCGACAGGATGCCAGTCCATCATTGTGCTACACAGAGACACAAAGGATTATTCGTGCATACTCACACATCCAAAGGACTATTTTAGAACCACCACTTAGCCTACAGTCATATTTTTGGACTGCAGAAAAAAGCAGAAGTACACGGAGAGTGGTTGCATGGAGGGAGAGAACATTCAAAGTCTACGCAGAAAGACATTAGATTTTAATTCAGGACCTTCTTGTTGCAAATACATAGTATAAGCAACTGTACCACCTTGCTTGTCATGTTCAAAACTGTGTTAACAAATAAAAATGGGAATATTAGTACATCTATTTTTTATAGAAATTCGGTATTGTGGAAAACTGTGTGTTAAAACCTTCCTCCAGGACTGGAATGGATGATATATGAGACCGGCTGCAGTGCTGAGTAAGTAAGACAAGCGAATGACGGCTATTGGCCCCTACTCCTCATCAGGACAGACAGCTTTGGCCGAGCTGTCCTGAAAAGCTATAAAAGCCTCCAACAACACAGAAGAATTCACTGCATTTGTCACTTGTTGTTTTGAAAATCTAGTAAAGTCTGAAAAATCGATAAAGTGGTTAAATTAACACGGATTTTTTCCGCTCATCCATACAGTCAGCCATGTTTCTTGGCTCCGCCCACTTTTCTATTATTTTTCAAAATTTGCCAGTGGAGAGGTTTAGTTTTCAGAGAGGGTCAGTTCCATTTTGAGTGCCGACAGTGCTGATAAGACATCCTCTCTGAGTGCATGTTGACTGCTCTGGAAACTGCCGGATGTCACTTTGACGTACTTCTCAGACATCCAAGATCGTTCAAAACTGAATCATTTACATATCCATCCAAGGTTTGCATGTATCACTCACTTCTAGATTCCTAATACAACATTCTTTCAGGGTGTTCAATTTGAGATTTAAAATTTTGGTCAAAATTATGTGAATTAAATATGATATATTTCTTGGTTGTTAGGGTTATGTTTAGAGCTGTAGTGATTTATCAGACTCAGACTTGGGAGGTTTACTCCTATTGAGGTTATTGTGTGAAAACCAAACAACACAACCCCTTTTGCACACTTGTAACTGAATTGTCAAGTCTGTGTATGCTACAGGCTGGCTGATAAAATCACTGCCCAGTCGGGATAAAATAGGAAGGAAATGGAGCATTTTACATAATGCTCAGTTCATTTAAATAAGCAATTGGAAACAAACATTAAAAACGCCACTGACAACACTGAGCAGGATCCATTTACAATGAAACAGCAAAGGAAAACACATACACTTAAAGTAAAAATGCCACAGTTCAGTGATATGCTTTGTAAAGGGTTGAACAATCCTTGATCACAAATTCAGAAAATAATACCACTGTCATTCAGTGGGCATGTTAGATTTGAAAGATTAATGTGCCTGCCTCCAGCTGAAAGGAGAACAAACCCAGCCTCCTGGTGTTTACTTCATCTCCACTCTAACTTGAATTATTATGCATTTACTGTACCTTTAAAATAGTAAGGTTAAATTATGTTTGTTTGTTTTTTTGTCACTGTTGTATTGTTATTTATTAAAATACAAAAAGTTTAGAATCCTTTAATGGATTATTTACTTTTTTTATCCCTAGCTTTTGATGCATCTTAATCTGACTCCAGACAAAATGCACTATTAATGGAAGTCAAGACAAAACGGCTAGAAATTGTACATCATAAATTAGCCATGCAAAAGTTCCTAACTTTAGCCTGCATAAACATAAAGGATGAATATGCATCAGGCCACAGTGAGGTCTATATGGAAACAAAATTTGTATGAGATGGATCAATTATGACAAGTGCAAATGTTAAAAGCAAAAGGTGTTTCTCTGATCTTTACCGTGCAGAAAAAGAAAAAAAAAACAACAATCTAAAGAAAAACTAATTAAGATCACAGAAATGTAACAAACTGAGTTTGTTACTCAGTGTACATGTGCTATTTCCACTCAAAGCCCATCATAAGTCACACACATAATATGTGATAATACTTAAAAACATTTTTCAGAATCAAAACGTTTATAGGAAATAATATAACAGAGGCTCTCATTGAAATAATTGTTGACCTAAAGGTTCTCTTCAGGTTGAGTTACTGTGTTGGTCTAAATCATTCTCCAAAAATACATTTATTTCCTTGGAGTCAAAGGTTACCAGCATTCTGGCATTCCCTATTAAAGACTAATGCATTATTATGTAAAGTACCCATGTATGGAAATGTGATTTCTCACCTCTCCACCCCCCATTTTTCTAATACAAACTGGACATTTTTCCTTAAATAATTTTGTGCTGTTTATAAAAAATCAGTCTAAAATGTGTGTTCTGTTTGCCTGTGGTTTTGAGGGAGAATTTTTACTTACTTGCCTCAACTGCGTCTTCTCAAACAGAGTAATTTATTTCAGCTGGGAGGTAAATGTCCCAGTCTTCTGATTAGGGTATCTGAGAGAAATCCCTCTAGCTCAACAAATGCAGCTGGAGAAACACAGAGCTGGAGGCAATTTTTACAAGTGCAGCTATGCACAGAACGATGGGATTCCCTGAGTTTCACACTAAACATTTGAACAAGGCTGAATATTTGTTTAATAAACTGTAAAATTGTTAATTTAGCATTAGGCACTACCAAAAAGTATTTTCTTTTATGTCATGTCACGTAAAATTGCAACAAAATGAAATGAAGTTTGTGGTTGTAACATAAAATGGGAAAAGATTATATCCACTGCTATTTGTATTTCACTTTACTATTAACAATGGGCATGTCTAAGTTAATACCAGTAGTTTACTATCACACTCTAGGCCATAAACATAAGAATAAAGTTATTTTTGTCTGGCGCTATTGAGTTTTTGCATAAGTAAACTGTCCAAGGAAAAAACCGTTAGATCATTTTACTCAGGCCATTTAATTTTTAAGTATATAACACATTGGGTTATTGTTTTCGGCATTTTTCTGAGACTAGCAGTGCTTTCTGCTTTCACTTTAACTGTTCACCTTCTGACGGTTTTTAGTTGAGACTAAATTTGAACAGAAATATTGCAGTGAAAGCCAAACATTTTCATTTTTCTATTGACACCGATATTTGTAGAAGGAGGCTGCGTCATATTTTATTGTACTTTTTACTTGTACTTTTTATGCCATGTATTACAGTAATTACAGCATATGTTCTTCAACCCTGCTCGAGTCTGCTTTTTATGAACATGGGCTTGATGCTTCTCAAGAGCCCAATAGGAAAAGTCAACAAAATTAAAACAAAGTAGTATATCTAAAAACTAATAATTTCTTACTCTTACCGTAAAACACATGAGTAGAGTCCCACATCTTGAAGGTCAGCAGGTCTGAACCAAATTGCATCCTCCTCCTTGCTCATGCGCACTCCATCGAAAGAGATCGGTTCTTCAAAGTCGGTGTGGCCGAGGCCAGAGCTGCGGTACCACATGAGGCTAAGGCCTCCGCTCTGGGCCTGGCTGTAGTTGCTCCGGATGTAACCATAGAACAGAGCGCACTTCAGACGGACTGCCTCACCCTGCAGCACCTGGTACTTCTTGTAATCCACTGACCAATCTGTGCAGCCGTCTACTAGAAAAGAGAACAATAAAACATATGGAAGACTTTCAATAGCAGGTTATAAAAGTAAAAAAAAAGAAGTTTTTTTCGGAGCATGAACTCTGAAAAATGTTTAAAGAATATAGAAAGGACCACATTGTCTTTTGTCTAAATAAAAGAAAATTTGAAATTTAAAACAGTTAAAAAGAATATAATTATATAGAAATGTCTATTAATTTCTAAAAATTGTTTTGGTTACTTAAATTGCATTACAAAATCTGGTTTCAGAATGTCTGATTAGACTAAATTTAGAGAAGCAATATTACCTAAAAGTGTGGCAAGTTTTGCTGATCACCATGTGTTTCAAACATACTTTTCTGTCATTTTTGTCTCAAGTCAAAATAACGGCGACAGAACAAGACAATTTTGTTTCCTTGTTTTTCTGTAAATGGAAATTTACTGTGAAAGATACACTGACATACACTGAGTCAGTTCCCCTGTGCCTATTTGTAGCATGTTATTCACTTCACTTTCTTAGTAAACCAGTTCATATCAGTTGATTTATTTACTACGGAGTGTTTTTGATTAATTATGATAATAAGTAAGCATAAAATGTGAAATTAGCGGTGTAATTTTATTGAATCACATATTTCACAATACAACTGAATTGCGTTAAGGTACGGTGAGGGATGGGGTATAGGTAGAGCTCCAACTGGTAAATTTTATTTATGAGTTGATTGCATGTAATTGCTTTGAATCATCAATAGCCATAGAAGGTATAAACCTGAATAATAACTTTGCTAAGAAAAGTTCATACTTCAGCACTGCAAAAGTAAAGAGTTGAAAAATAAACACACCGGAATAAAAAAATTAAATCAATATTTAACTTCAAGTTAAACATAGTTTTTAAATTCATCTGTGATTGCAGCATTTTTTGATTGCATTGTTGACTGTAGCTTTATTTGCAGCATATTTCTATTGAATTTGTTGTTTTCCATGTGTTTAGGATTTTGCATCATTTATATGTTTGTGCCCATTTCCAGAACATTTTACCATTTGCATCTATCTGCTACCGTAGTGTAGTGGCTGCTATTAGACAAAAATGCTGCCCCTCATGGGAAAGCTGTTTAAATCCTTCTCAAGCTCCAACTGTGGCTTGTGGCTTAATCAATTATACATGCCACTTGGAAGTTACTAATTTCTTCCCAAAAGTAGCCATAAAGTGTTTGGAGGCAACTGTCACATTTCACAAACTATTCATTATTTTCTTGTTTATTTTTTATTGATTAATTCTCTGAAACAGCTGCCTCAGAAATAAACTGCAAAGCTAAATAATATAATCTTTTCAAAGCATGTTAGATCATGACATTTTGAGATAAAAACTTTTTATATGTTACATAGAAATATTGCAATGACACTTTGGGAGGATTGCAGTTTTACTGTGTAATGATGTGAAAGACACATTTTATGCCCTCACCTTCAATCTCAACTTTGCCAGCACACTCGGAGTATAAGATATCTTTACCTCTGCAGAAAGCTTACGCACTCACATGCAATATTCAAACATGCAAGCACTGTGACACTTGGGATTTAACTGTACAATATCCTCAAAAATGGTGCCAGCCACATCTAGCTGCTGGATATAAATCAGATTTGAGCAGGGTACAAAACAACCTCGGTAAATGGGAATATGCCACTATGTCTCTCAAGCAAGATGTCTATGGCCTGATGTTCACCAGCTCAGCAATTACGCATAAGAGAGTTTGCCCAACATGTTTTGGTTGGAGCACTGCTGCAATGAAAGAAGAGTAGCTGATGCAACACAAATGAAAAGAAAAAACAAACAAAAAAAACTTATGTGACACTTTAGCTACAACAGCAGAACAAGATGCATAAGGAACGGCTACAGTGGCTAAACAGACGGTCATAATGACAAAATGACCTGCTCTTTTTCATGCAAACATGGCTCCTTCACATCCCAAGCGACTGGATTTTAACCCACAGCCAGCTATCACTCTCCAACTAATTAGCTAACATTTGTTTATCCAGCAGGTGTGTATCAGAAAGCGTGTATAACCAGAGACTAGGAGAGGGAGACAGAAGAGGCGATGCTGTGGTGAGATAAAGTAATAAGAACCCCACTGCGTGCCGTCTGTGAGTGATACAGAGCCTCACAGGGACAGCTATGCTAGTAATTAATACTGTTAATTACCAGGGAGGTATAATATGTGTGAGGGAGAAAGAGTGTGTGTGTCTATTTGCATGAGCGTGCATTCCCTATATGAATGGTTGTCTGCCTCAGTAATTACTATCGGCTTTGCCACCAGTGTTTGTGTGTGTGGGTGCGTGCACTTACACACACAGGAATGTGAAATAAACTGAAAGCGGAAGTGTGTGCGTGTCGTAATGTGAAACACTAATTATTCTCCCTTACATTAAAGTAGATGCAAACATACATGTGTCATGTGTTCACCTAATACAGTTTCAATAATTATGTTTTGATTAACTGTTGTGTGTCCTGCTTGTGATCACTATCAGCAATATGGAAAGGCCATTGTTTCTAATCATGTCGCTCATGTTGCGCTTATTTTTGGAAAAAACTAAATGTTCATCTTTCTGTTTGTTTTTGCAAGTATAATTCAGAGTTGGGTTGATGGTAAAGCAGTTGAGGAACTCTCATCATTTCAAAAATTTTCACATTTTCTCTGAGTCTCGTCTTTCTTTTGGAAACCCAAAAATATTGCTAAATAGACATTTTATTGACTGTCAACACCATAGGGCGACTCAAAACCTACTTTATTACTGACTTCAAAAGATTATTCAAGTATTGATAAAGCAGAGAGATAACCATATAGCTGCACCTTTAAATCTGTGGTGAATTATAATAGTTACAGGACATCACACATTGGTGGAGTAACATGTGCTTCTAAAAATATACCTCTGTTATGCTCCATTATGCAGCTCAGACAGGTGGCTTTTGATGGTTGCAGACTCTCCAAAATGCCCAGCTCCAAAGGCATCGGTTCTGATAGAACGACTTAATTCTCGTGATCTGTTCCCGCTTGGTGTGCTTAGAAAAGAGGCAGGTGCTTCTTAAAGCAATGTTTTAAGTTCTTGAATGAACTAGATGCACTATGTTGTTCCTGATATACATTTCCCATTAGACTTGCATCACAGGAACTAGACAGAGCTTCGAAAGCCAGACTTAACTTTGACAAAAAAAATAAATAAATCTTGCCTGTTAATATCATAAAATCTCTTGACATAATTATTACTATTATAGAAGGAAAATGAGATTGTCCTCATAGAGACACTGAACTGAGGACATTCATTTCTTCTCTGACATTGTGGTGAACTTCCTCTAAAGACAGCAGGTAATTCCTCTGCCTCTCTGCATACCAATCTTCTAATCAGTGGAGGGAGAAGACTTCATTCATCCTTCTCTTTATTCACTTTCTATTACACTAATTGATATGACCTCTGCGCCAAGCTTACCAATCTTCATTTTTGCCCTTAGTGGCAAAAGAAGCTTCCCTGCTAATTCAAAACTAAAGAAAACATTTCGTTGACTGGCAAGCAAGTGATGCATTTGCTTCCACTGGCAGATGTGTTTAGTCCAACAAAACAACTCGGCATGCACTGAAGGTAGGCATATGTTAATGCACACATACGTAAGGAGACCTTTCATTTCTTATGGCCATTCCAAGTGGAGTTGTGCAAAGCAATAGCATTTGTGTGTGCGTGTACGTGTGGGGGTGTGGGAGGGCATATTTACGTCTGAGACTCAAAACGGTTTTATCAACTCAATTAGAGGCTGACATTTCCCACATCCCCATGCTAGGCAAGAAAATCAATGCTTACCGCTGCAGGAATACTGCAGTCCCCACCTTTCACTCTCTGCTGCTGACAGCTTGCATAAAACTACACACAAATACAGGATCTCATGCTATTCCACCCTGGATTCCTGAGACGTTAAGGATTTGTAGCAATTTTGCTCAGCCATCCAACAAGCCCATGGTGTGAAAAAGTGTTTCCATATGGACACATTCCCCTATGGCTGTCAGTCTTCTGATTCTTTCTGCAGGGCTGTTGGCTGCAATGCTCCTTTACCTGTGATTGCTACATCCCATGATATATAAGGTAAAGGTGGAGTGCAGTTGGTACTCAAAAACTCCAAGGTGGGGACGTCATAATTCAGAAAAATGTGCAGGCACGTGAGCGCTGCAGAAACCTTATTACATTCAGGGGCAGGACAGACCTGTCCGTCACTGTGCGACACTAAACCAAGCCAATAAATACATACCCTAGAGCTTGAATAAATTTCGTCTCACACACACTCAAGGAGTTGCACAAAGAAAATGTGAACCCACCACAGCCAGAACTCCAATCACAGACTGGATTTTGTGTTTCTTCAGTCAACTCCAGCTTTCTCATGATCGTTATTTTTAACATTATATTATTTTTGTTGTTATTTTTAAAATTATATTACTTATGCAATGCATTGTTTCCTGAAACTCAATAAAAAATCTCTCTTCTCTCATCATTCTTGCTCTTCGGATAAAGTTGAACTATCAGATATTTGGTAGGCGATTGGGCTTTTTCAATTATCTGTAGCTGAATCCATTCCAGAGAATTACTTTTCTTTGTCATTTTTTGCACGTTCTTTTCAGTAGACTTCACATAGACTTGCAGTCTGATGTTTACATACACTCATCATTGACATGAATTTGACATAAACTGAGGAGGTTTAGTGACACATTTATACTTCAGCGATTAATGATTAAACAATTTATCTCAATTATCTGAGCTTAATGTGTACATATACAACTCTGCTAATATTTTTAAATGAATGCATAGCTTATGAACGTTGTATTTTCACTGAAGAGCAGCTTGATTAACTGTAGATGAGTGGATGTACAGCTCTTTTTCAATTGTTTTCATTACATCGTGAGTGTTTTTTTGGGCATTTTTGAAAGCTAATTTTTAGAACAAGCAGTCAAATTACTTTCCATGAGAATGAGATTTTAGAAAAT